GGGCGGGTCTAAACTAAGGGAAACAGGCTTCAGCTGGAGCGGCCGTTTTCCGCTTGGTCCTAGTGCCTGACGAGTCTCTGTGTACTATAGCATAACATTGTTTTTGGACGTGTGTGTGTGTGTGTGTGTGTGTGTGTGTGTGTGTGTGTGTGTGTGTGTGTGTGTGTGTGTGTGTGTGTGTGCAGCCGCCCTACAGCTAATGATTAAATACATTCAGAGGTGAACATTGAGCCAACCTCTTGTTCAAATTCAAAAACATCAGCTCACTTTACACAAATGTTTTTCCATAAATGAACAGACAGCTCATGTTGTAATGTTTAAATAGACACATTGGAAGGGTGTGTGTGATTATGGAGAGAGATTATGAACCTGCTCGCTGCCATCGCTCCATCTGAAGTGAAACTGTTGGACTGTGTATCTCAGGTTACGAGCTGTCTAAGCTGGAGAGTGCAGTGGGTTCTCCGGAGAAGCCTCTGTCTGATCTGGGGAAGCTGAGCTACAGAAGTTACTGGTCCTGGGTCCTGCTGGAGATCCTGAGGGACTTCAGAGGAACGCTGTCCATCAAAGACCTCAGGTAGACACTCAGACATCTTCCTTTATAACCACAATCCTCCAGTTAGTCCACACTGTTCTGTAGCTCTGATTGGTGCTCACATTAGCTCCTCCTCCTCCCCCCGCAGTCAGATGACCAGCATCACGCAGAGCGACATCATCAGCACGCTGCAGTCGCTCAACATGGTGAAGTACTGGAAAGGCCAGCACGTTATCTGTGTGACGCCCAAACTGGTGGAGGAGCATCTGAAGAGCGCCCAGTACAAGAAACCGCCGATCACAGGTCAGTGAAACACCTGGAGATAATGTGTGTTGTCCTGGTAATGTTTGATCTCTTGTGGGCTGTGTGAGAGGAGAACTGTAGTGAAGTGAAGTCAGTCTGCTGGAGACGAAGATAAACCAGCTGAGACTCTTCATCACCACCCTGCATCCATAAAGAGGAAGAAAACTGGAGTTCAATGTGTCGTTAGGCTCGATGGAGATGGTCGGACAACAGCAGCCTTTAAATGTTTACTTCCTGTTAGATCATCTGTAGGCTGCCTGTAGTTTTTAGAGCACGTTTGGATACATAAATAAACTTTATTATTATTATTATTATCAAGCACACAGGATGTGTTTCACAGATTAAACCTTCATTGTAATCTACAGTCACAGAAAAATTAGGAAAACGTCCAAACCAGGTGTTTCCCATGATGCCCTGGGTCGTGATGGTGTCTCCTCCTCTGGGTCAGTTTGACAGCTGCAGCCTCCTCATTGTCTCTCCCAGACTAATGCCAGTCAATCAGCCATCAGACACTGGATCACAGACCCTCTCTGTATGGGAATGTTTGTTTTATTGGTGATTTGATTCTTTTTCCTTCCTTTAATTCCTTTATTTTCTCTGTTTGAAGGCCAGTTGCAGTGTGGATTGGGTTCCCTCAGTGGGTCGGGGTTAACTGTTGGATATTTTGTGTGTGTGTGTAGTTTAATATTCACGTTGAATAACAATAAAAGGTCTTTGTCTCCGTTGTCTCGCTCACGCTGTGTCTCGTCTCCTCCACAGTGGACACTATGTGTTTGAAGTGGGCGCCTCCTAAAAACAAACAGGCCAAGTTGTCCAAGAAGTGAGAGCGAGGAGGGGGCGGAGCCTGTGACGCTGCGTCCGTCCGTCACCGTCAGTCGACCCGTGCATATTGTTCTCCTTCATCTGCTGTTGTTAAAAACTCTCTGTATATAGCTGTTAGCAGCATCTGTCAGTATTTTCTTAAAATATATTTTAAAAAATCTCTTTGTGTCGTCTCCTCGTTCCTTCAGTCTGTTTTATCTTTAAAGTTTCACACACAACAAACCACATTTACCTCAACAATAGAGCTGCAGTGGAGAATCAGTTCATTGATTGTTGCCAACTATTAAATAATTAAATATTATTCATGGATTTTTAGGAAAAAAAGAATCCAAATTTTCTGATTTCAGCTTCTTAAATGTGAATATTTTATAGTTTCTTCAAA